ACATGGTACAGAACATGAGAAGCAGCAACAAAAAATGTCTTACAGAGTGAGATTGTGAACTGTGGCAGAAAATGTTCTTTCCCAATATGCCTTTGAAGTCATCTCTACTGTCATTCTTATCCACAACTGCAAACTGGAGGTAGATGGCAATCTCTGCATTAATTTCTCGTAGTATGCGTTGAAAAATAAGGCTAACTTCCTTCTGTAAGTTTTTATTTTCCTTTCCATACTGCACTCCTCCATCGGTTTGATTAACAAACTTAGCTGCAAGAGACAATACCACATAGTTTGTAGAAACTGTTTGTTTATTTATGGTCAAATGATAGCAGAGTTCAAGAAGAGTAGAAACAGACAGAAACCAGACTAGAAGGTGTGCCCCTAGGACTGATCTCCAACGCTAACACCTGCTGATAAATCTAGCTATTACACAAAGCTCTGTTATTATCACTTGCAATATTTCAAATCAGGACCTAGCACCTAAAAATGTTTTAAGCAATTCACTAACACAGCAAATAGTATAATGTTGATATTTCAGCAGAGGAGAGATTGTCAGATTTGTATGAGTTTCCAGACAGAAGCCAGACCAAAGTGCCATAGCTGACCCGCTGACCACAGTGACTTGAAAGAACACCATTAGCTGTCAGCACATCACAGAGGTGAACCTTGCCAGAAGGTTAGCACTGTAGCACTAAGATCCATGGAGGAGAAAATAAGAATAATTTAATTAAATCCTGGAAGAAAAGTTTGGGAAATGAAAATCCACGATGATAGGGTAAGCCTCTCAGATTTAGATAGCATGCACAGCTCAGAAGTAACAGAAAGTGGTATTAAATTGCAAGTGATAGCAGTCTATCCCCATTCAGACAAAAATGCAAAAACAGCTAGAAACCAGAAATCAGACAGAGAGCATCTCTGCGTTATCCTCCACAGTTTCACTCCTCCACTGGGATCTGCTACAAATGAATCTTCTCTAGGCAGAGGGAAGAAGCAGCACCCACGCTTTTAACTCTTTTGACAGTCTCTGTCAAGGATGTCCTCTTCTGTTAGAGACATAACTGGGAATAACAAGAGTGCAAGGAGGAAGACGCTCGTGCATTTGCAAAGCAGACTTCAGTAGGTCTGCTCATCCTAGGGATGCTGTCTAAGGCAGTGTGAGTGATCTGAGACAGGAAAGCGAGTATTGCTGCCAGATGATGTGCAATAAGAGGTTAAAAGGAAGAGTCAAGAGGGACAGCAGTGCTACGGTGGAGGATTATGTTACTTTCACAAGGAGATTTGACCTCAGAAATGTCAAGGAGCATAGGTGGGATTTTATAGAAAGATTAGAGAGGAGTTGCAAGTGAGTGGTTTAATGGGAAGGGTTTAAAGAGAAGGCTCTTGAAATTCGATGGATAAAAAGTAAAGCAGGTATTTCTGAAAAGGTGGTGGTAAGATTTCATGGGATTATAGTAATTTTAAGCAATGGCACCTGTGGAAGCACATGAGCAAGTCGGTAGGTGGTGAGCTGGTGTACTAAGTGGTGTGTGTGAGGATTGTCCAGCACACAAAATGCAAAGCAGCAGAGAGGTTTAATGCAAGGGACTGCACAGGAGTTAGTTGAATAAATTTTACAAGAGTGATAGAGCAGGTAGAGCAAGCATGGGACTGAGAAAATTTGCAGTGGGAGAAGAAAGATGAAGAATGTTGGCTTCCAAGGGAAGGTGTGTGCTCACATCCACTGCTTGGGATTCAGCAAGCATCAATGAATGTCAATGGGTGCCATTTTTTCTGCCTGGAGAAATTCCGTGACACATCTTTGCGTCATATACACTTTCATGTCAGATGCCCTTCTGTCAGACTGCCCCTCTGCTGCCATCTGTCACACGGCAACAAAATGTAATGGAATACTGGTGGGAAGGTTCAACCTCTACTGCCATACCACCAGCATCTGCCTCCATTGTCATGGGCCAGCATAATAAAAGAGGAGGCATTACTTTTGGGGCAGCGCTTGTACGTTACTACATTCACTACTTTATTTTCCAGCCCTTGAAAAGTTCCACTTCATAGAAGATTGTGGCTGCAGTAAAGTTGTATGCAGAACCTTAATAAGATTGGGTAGCTGGTTGAATCTACAACAAGAACCATCACAAGCTGAAGCAACTTGCAGCCTTCTCCAGAGGGACCAGCTTTAACACACCCAATTCTAAAATGAACTTCATTTCCTCAAGATTTTAGGAATAAATGCTGTTTTCTATTCTAAATTGAAAAGATGAAATGTTTGTACTCTGCCTGGCAAAGGAGACCACGATCATCCTACCATGTCCTGGTGGTAATTTTACCTCAAGGGAAAAATCTCATTCCATAATAATGAACAGACAAAAACCAATATTTTAAGGCTTAGGGACCCCAGTCGCTATGCCAGCCTAAAACATAGCTAATAATGTCAACTGTATCTCTAGGCCTTAAGAATATCCCCGAGATAGTTTTAAGGAAGAAAAGAGAAAACTGCAGCTCTAAAAACCGTTTGCAGTGCACTCAGCTGTTCTCAGTTGTGGCTGAGGAAAACATGCAGTGCAATACTTCAACTATTTGGGACTTTATCCCTGAAAGCTCTCCAGCACAGACAGCTTATTGAGATGCAAACATCTGACAGTCAGCGTTTTTGCATTGGGCACTTGGGTCTGGCCCAGCTCACCGCAACATAACTTCTGTTAATGTATAACAGACTGCAAGGAACACAGCTTTGTTGTTTTTTTTTTTTTTTTTGGCACACGCACAAACAAAATAACCACCACAATGTTTTTAACAGCAAATAAAAAAATAAAAAATTAGTAACAAAACTGGCAGCGTTGGCCCTGTCTGCAGGTGAGAAGCTGCACGAGACCAGCGCTGACCGATACCTGGGAATGGAGAGGGGGCTGCCTCGAGAGCTGCAATGCATAGCTGTGCTTCTCCACAGACACATCACGTTACAAAGAACAGCTCTGAAATGTGATTTTTACACATTTTTAGCCAGGTGTGCAGGGTACAATGGCGGGGGTGAAGCACCAGCATTGTTAAATACCACCACTATGTGATTCTCTCAATCTTCATTTACTGGAACAGGCTGCCCAGAGAGGCTGTGGATGCCCCGTCCCTGGAGGTGTTCAAGGCCAGATTGGATGGGGCCCTGGGCAGCCTGGTCTAGCATTAGGTGGAATGGTTGGTGGCCCTGCATGTGGCAGGGGGGTTGGAGATTCATGATCCTTGAGGTCCCTTCCAACCCTGGCAATTCTGTGATTCTGTGATTCATCAGGTTGGATATTAGGAAACATCTCTTCTCAGAAAAAGTGGCAAGGTATTGGCACAGGCTGCCCAAAGAGGTGGTGGAGTCACCATCCCTGGAAGTGCTGAAGAACCGAGTGGATGTGGCACTGAGGGACGTGGGCACAGCAGGGCATGGTGACAGCTGGATCCTTGTGATCCTCAACCTTAATGATTCTGTGCTTTATCATATAAAAGGAAGAATTTGGCTGAGAGGGAAAAGTACTTTGCAGATGAGAACTGACATGATGGATCCTTCTTCTAAATTGTGTTTTCTGAAAGCAGACCTCTGTGGTTTTGTAACTTAAATTCTGCAGAGAAGAGCGAAGGTAAGAATGTTCTGAGGACAGACTAAGCTTAGTCAAAATTTCTGTTAAATCAACTTTTTATTAACTTTTTTGTAAAGAGAAATACGACCAACTTCAGTAATTGTGTACTGCAGCAGTATTTTCAATCATCCTTTCTGCCTGCTGATGGTTTCCCATGTTGCTTGGAACAACCAACCTGCTCTGTTTGGGCCACGCTGTCAGCCAGCAAGGCTGGAGGCGTCTTCTGCGTGGACGAGCCCAGCATCCCAGCTGCCACAGACACTGTGCAATCCCTTAGAACAAAACTGCTGCACCCACGGCTGAAATGAGACAGAAGCGGAAAGTCCAAGCAAAGGAACGCTCAGCAGAGGGGCACTGAAATCGGTGGGGTGAGCACAGGGCAGAGAGGTGTGGTGTTAATGCGGCCCTGGATTTGGATTGCATGGCAGGTTGCAGGAGCCACGCATCAGGTGCTTGGGGCTGCTGTGCCACAGCAAATTCAGCCACACAGAAGAGCGGAGCTTTCCAGACAGGTTTTACCGTTTGTTCGCCCATACGGACCATATAACGAATACTGCAACTTCAGCTCCGTTCCCTCTTACACGCGTTCCTCGCCGTTTCCAACCCAGCGGCATTTCCGAGCCGAGGGCTGCAGCATCACCAACCGCGAACCCTCCCGGACCCCCCCTTTCTCCCCCCACGTCCTCGTTCCGCCTCACAAAACGAAAACGCAGAGCCGTTCCGTTCCCATCCTTCTGCCCGCAGACGGAGACCTCTGCGGCTCCCGAGTGCAGACGGGAGGGAGAAGCGCGTACGGCGGGGCAGCCGGGCAGCGGCGGAGGTGCGGACGGCCTCGGGTGCGGCGCGGCCCCGCCCGGCGGCACCCGCCGGGAGATGGGGGGCAGGTGGCGGGCTCGGGCGCGGGTCGCCTCGGCACTTTCCGCCTTCGCTTCGGCTCCGTCCGCTCCGCGATGGAGAAAAGGGAGGGCACACGGGGGGAGCCCAGGGCTCCGCGCCGCGCCGCTCCTTCCGGGCGGGTGGGGGGCGGTGCCGCTCACCTGGTGCCGCCGGGGATCGGCCGTGCGGACGGCCGCGCCGGGCGGGAGGTGAGCGCCAGGCGGCCCCGCCTCGCCCCGCCCCGTGCACCGGCCCCGGCAGCGGGCGTCGGGCGGGCACGGCAGCCGGCGGCGCGGTGAGGGCGGGCGCGGGGAGCCGGGGCGGCGGTGATGGGGAGCGGAGCCCCGGGCGGGGCGGTGCGGGGGGGCTCGGCGGGAGGCAGGGCGGGACGGGCGGCGCGGCGGGACTCCTGACGGCCCCTTTTGTCTCTGCCCAGGGTGTTCGCGTCGCTCCCGGCCTCTCTCCCCGCCCCCGTCTCGCCCGCCCCGCCGGGAGCGCTCCTCCGCGGGCAGCGGCACGGCCGCCTCGGGGCGGGCGGCGGCGGAGGCGCTGCGGGGCGCTCCCGCCATCCACCCCGCCGCGAACATGGCGACCGGCGGCTACCGGAGCGCCGGCGGCAGCACCACGGACTTTCTGGAGGAGTGGAAAGCCAAGCGGGAGAAGATGCGGGCCAAGCAGGCGCCGACGGGCCCGGGGGCTGCGGCGGCGGGGGCCGAAGCCAGGCCGGCGGCGAGCCCTGCCCCGGCCGAGCCGCACCACCACCTGCCCGCCGCCCTGCCGCCCGAACGCGGCGCGCCCCCCGCCGGCGGGGCCGCCAACTGCCTCGGCCCGGGCCGCGCCGCCCCCGGCAAGGAGCCGCCGCCGCAGGGCCCCGCTGCCGGCAGGGAGCCCGCCAAGCAACCGCCCGCCGCCGCCTCCGCCGCGCCCGGCTCCCCCGAGGGCGAGGAGAAGCCGGCGGCCAAGGGGAAGAGCTCCGGCCCCAGCGCCAGGAAGGGGAAGGGGCAGATCGAGAAGAGGAAGCTGCGGGAGAAAAGGAGGTCCACAGGTGTGGTGAACATCCCGGCTGCCGAGGTGAGCGGGGCGGGAGGGACGGGAGGCGCCCGGAGCGCTGCCCGAGCGGGAACGGGGCGCTGCGGGGCAGCCCAGGTGTGCGGCGGGAGCGGCGGCGGGGCTGAGCGGAGTCGCGGCTCCGGGTGGGTGCTCAGGTGTAAATAGCGCGCCGTTTGGAACGCGAAAGTATTTCCTGCGCTGGAAAAAATGTGGTGGTTGGAGGAGCATTTTTTGAGGGCAGAGGAAGATATTTTTATCAGCCAACACCACTGTCCTCTGCGGCTTGCTACTAGGATAGAAATCTGGCGCTGAGTTGTAATGCTCCTAGAGGAATTCGGAAGAATGATAACCGAGCCTTCAGCTTTTTTTTTTTTTCTTTTTTTTTTTTTCCCAGTTAATAGGAGGCCACAGGAAACTTTAAATAAAGCTGTGTTTTACCCTCAGAGTTGCGTTAATTCTGGTCGTCTGTCTCACTAAAGGAGAAACTGTGCAGTCTGTTTCTCTGGTTATTGTTACAGATGGTCAGAATAGCAATAAAGTGCTTTTGCAGCAGCAGCAGGAGATGGAGTTGTGTTCTGCAGACCTGGAGTCATTAACACTTGTTTCGATCCCATAAACGCGCTCGTGGCGGTCACTTCCATGCAGGGAGGTGCTGGGAGATGAGCAGCGAGTTGTAAGAGCAATGGAAATCTTTGGAGCTGTGTTTCCTAGGGGCTGGTCCTGCACTTGATGGGGGCATCGTTTGCAGAGCCTATTCTGAGATGTGTTGGCATGGGTCTTCCTGCTTTGGGGAGTGCAGCGAGTTTTTCAGCTCTTTGGCTTCTGAGATTGCCAGCTGCCCAGAGTGAGATGGTTGGTGAGCTCTGCGTGCTCCCCTCTACCTTCCCTGTGCTCCTATAGGAACTCATAAACAGTTCTGCATTTTCATGTTCCCAGGTAAACTAGTCCTGGTCCGTTTCATAGGGCCTTTGCTCACTGCAGCAAGCATCACACAGCAGCTCCTTGTAGGGCTTCTGCTGTACCCCCAAACACCAGTCACGGCCTTTCCTTTTTTCCCCACCCTCTCTCCCTGCAACTGGTGTCCTGGTGCTTTGAACTTGTGTTCTGAGCTGCTGTTCTGTGGCTTTGGGTGGTGTGGCTTGGGGTGTGCTGGTGGTTGGACTTCATGTTTGTTTGTTGGCTTTGTTTTGTTTTGTTTAAATATTGCTCTGAATATTCATTGCTTTCCAGGAATGCATGCTCCTTGCTCAGCAACCATTAGAATCTTCTGTGTCAGTTTGCTGCTGTAGCTGCTGCTGCATTGTTAGAGTGGCTGTCATGGCTGAAGTACTTGGGCACTGAGAAGCAAGCTCTCCTCAGCCATGTGTTTCTGAGGCCTGACTCCTTGCGAACTTCTCTCCATGTTGCTTATGTCTGAAATCAGCAACTTGGACAAAAGAAGGCTGTTGTGTAAATGGTGACTTCTTGAAATAATCAAGTTTGCGGTCTACACACTCCAGTTTCATAGCAGTTCCAATTCTCTGCTGTGGGCAGGGCTGCCACCCAGCACCTCAGGCTGCCAAGGGCTCCATCCAACCTGGCCTTGAGTGTTTCGAGGGATGGGACACTCACACCTCCTCTGGGCAGCTGTGCCAGTGCCTCACCACCCTCTGAATAAAGATTATTTTCCTAACACCTAACCTAAAATTTCCCTGATTTTAATTTAAAGCCATTCCCCTTTGCCTCATCACTGTCAGACTATGTAAAAACTCAGATTCTCTTGTGTTTATAAGATCCTTTCAGGTACTGGAAGGCTGTAGTGATTTCTCCATGGAGCTCTCCCCATGCTGAACAAGCCCAGCTCTCTCAGGCTGTCTTCATAGGAAATTTCTTGCTGTTTTTCTCCTTCAGGTGCTAGGCTTAGCTTTGCTGTGCTGAGTGTCAAGTGCTATGCTTTGAAAGCTTTTCACATTTTGGAAGATGTTCTCACAGACCTTTGTTGGGTGTTTTATTGTCTAACTTTCAAGAAGACAGCTTTCTCTAGTGCAGAGTTGTCATTTTGTGATGAGCATTGCAGCAAAGTGGAGAAAGGCAGCAAGGAGGAGATTCTGATTCTCTGAAATAGAGACAAATAACTTTACAAAATGTGCTTGTGGGAGATGCTTAATGCCTTGAAACTTCTTGGCCTGGAAGAGAACACAAGAAGGGTTTTCACCACCAGAGAAACAGAACCTAATTTCTGTTGTAACGCATTGGAAACTTGAATGTTATGAAAAGTGGAACAATGAAAGTTAAGGTTTAGGTTGTCTTGTTGTTGTTGAAATAGGCATTAAAAATGTTAGCAGATTGTTCTTCATTAATGATGAATTTCTGCTCAATAGGAAGGTAATAGAGCTGGGACTTAAACAGTTCCATGTCTTAAAGTTCTTTTGAATTTAAGTCATAAGAGGTCAGAAATCGAAGGGAAAGCTGTGAAAACAAATGGTGACAGGTTGTGAGCAGGGGCTGTGCTTTGTGTTTGGAAGCCATAGTGGTAAAAGTAAAGGTTGGTTTCTATCTTCACAGCACCAGTGCTTAATCTAAGTCCAGATGGCTTTGGAAGTTGGCTTCTGAAGTATTTGCAGCCCTTTACCTTCTTGGTAGCTGGTTGAAACTTAGTAATTTGATTTCACTCTGTGGAATTTGATGCCTTGGAATAGGTTGTGAAAGGTAACAATTGCATCTAATGATCATTACTACTACAGTTTACTTCTCTAAATTAAGCTTTACAGCCTGCCCCATACAAAGCATTTTTTTCAGTTTGTAGGTGTTCAGTTGATGCAGATGTGAAGTTCTGTCTGTAACGTTCTCACTTGAAGCAATGCTCCTGTCTGTCTGAGACACACACACAGTTCCTGTTGTGCTAAGCTCTGCCTATACGATGAAAGTGGTGTTTTGTATTGTTAAAGTAACTTTGCTGTGCTGCTGAAGGTGCAGCTCTGCTTCTGTACGTGTTCACACTGGCAGATTCTGCTGGCAGAGCTGTGCTCATAAGCTGTTTCTGAATCTCAAACAGGAGATCAACAAGTGCTGTTGTGGTCACCTTTGTAAAAAGGGTGCATGTGGAGTCAGCATCGTGGCTATCCTGGGCAGGACAGTTAGGTGGTTGGTTTTGGTGTAATGTGCTTATGGATGAAGTTTACATTTTTTCACCTAAGCAGCTGCAAGCCATCTAAATTCACAAGTGTTCTTCTGTAAATAATGGGGTGATGAATGTTTTAACAAGGTGTAAAGAACTTGGATCTGTGTAATTTGCACGCAGAGCTGCCGTACTCAAGATACAACAGTCTCCTGACCTGTTTGTAGGAAATATTAATACAGTAAAAGACCTACGCTGTTTCCAATGCATAGGATGTGCAGCTGCTCTGTCTGTTCCATACCAACTTTGGAGTGGTACAAAGGCCATGACTTTCTGACAGTGGGCTGGCAGCTCTGCCAGGAGTCTACTGCTTTGGAAGGGGCTGCATGTGATGCTTGGTGGGTGTTGTGCTGAACAGAAGCAGCTCGTGCTACTGTGGGAATCAAACACTGAGCTGTGTCACTGACAGGAGGCTGCTGCGTTCCAGTTGGAAAAACCAAAGGAAACTTTAAATGCCAAATGTGTCAAGCGTAGCAATTACTGAGTAGGTTGTAAAGCAACTGAAAGCCTTCTCTGAAAGGCTGGAAACTAGAGAGGAGCGCGGAGTCCCGTGCTGGTGATTGGAGTCTTCTGAACAGAAGTTTCCCTTCAGTAGAATCCTCTGCAGCAAAAATCCCTACCTAAGGATTAAGTTAAGTGGAAGAACAGTTCTTGCCATCTTGTTATAATGGGAAAGCATCTTTGCACTGACCACTGTCTCTGAGCATTTTCCTTTCAAGCAACTTGCTTTTTTTTCACATATGTTAGGAGAAAAATGTCTCAGTAAGATGTGTTCAGGAAAAGACTGTGGGGAAATGCATATTTCCTGACCACTGATACCATCAATGCAGAATATTAGTATTGTGGCAGAAGTCTAAAATATATTTATTTGACCTGGCTGACCTTCCACTACCATCCTGCTGCTTGCTTTGTCTGGTGAGCACATTCATTTTACTGTTGTTCTATTTGTGGTTCCTCCTTCAGACATGGATGGGTAAAAGAGGCATTATAAACATTTTCAGATTTCTGCTCTGAATACTATTTACATCCAGTCTGCTTCATCGTCAATTCCTTTGTGAATCCTGATTTTAACTTAGCTTCTGGGCAACCCATGCAAACGGCACATTCTTTATCTTTTTTCCACCCTCTTTTAGCATGTAAGTTTTAATTCCTATTCCTTTATTTATTGATTTTTTTTAAAGTTTTTGCTTGTGTTTATAGGCATGCTTTAATACTGTGACACTTAGCTAGGTAAGGGGAGGTGTTTGCTCAAGTCAGTCACGTAATGAACATAGAAATCCAGAAAGATCTTTGCATCTAGAACCCTTCCCAATCGCTGTGCTTACTTTGGGATAAGGTGCAGTAGTTTTCTGTCTGAAAATATATGCAGAGATAGTGTGATTTCTTTTTGTATGATAGGGATAACTTTATTCTTGCTGTTTTCATAGAAGGCCAGACTGTAGGCCAGTGTCTACAGCTGGAAATCCCAGGACTCTACCAGAAAGCACCAATTCTTTTATGCATGTAGTTCGTAATTCCAGCGCCTCTTCCTGCTGGAGTGGGAAAGAGTGATGGAAAGCATTCAGGAGCCACCAATTTCCCCTCTGATTCTCTCGACTGCATTTATCTCTTAAGTGCAATTTTGGGAAGGCTGGTTTTTAAAACGATCCTTTAATAAGTAGGTGTATTTGGAAAACATTATTGTACTGTTAGCTTTTTCACTCTCCTGGTTTTGGGATGATTCATCTGAAACGATACCGTTATTTGGTGGAAAATAAACGTAAAGTAAGAAAAGAATTCTTCAGAAAGTAAGAAGAGTACTTAGCTTAGGTTGTAATTGATGGTTGAAGGCATCTTGCTTTTCTGCCTTGCCAGTTACTGCCTT